GATGCGAGATGAGTCAGCCTCGGTGTCGTCAACTAGGCCGAACCTGATCCCCGCCATCTTCAGGACTTTCCTAAACGAGTCCGGTAACCCTTCGCCTCACTCCGAACGCACAGACGTAGATGTCCGAAGTCTTCACCTCTCACTCAATCGGCTCGTCCACATGTCGACAAAATTTCCCAGCCGAGCCTGGCGTGCCAGACGTTCGGAACCTCGCACATTCTTCGGCGCTTCGCACAAAGCCGTAGCGACATGAACAAATTCGGTAACCCTATAAAGTTTGCTTCCAGCAAACATAATGCTAGCAACCCGCCTACTCACCTGCTCGCTCTCCCTGCTCGCTCCTACTCGCCCTTGACAAGCCGCTGCTCAAGCGGAAAGCAAACTATATTCCGTCCACCTACTCTCGTAGTCTCCACGGTCGGGGCTTTAGAAGTCTGCTCTGCTGTGCTCTTCCTATTTTTTAGGCGCCTAAATTTAGACGCTATGCTTCACTTTCGGTCCTACCCGTTTAGTCGTCGTAATGGATAATTTGAGCTCTAGGCTCAGCGCGCTTACTATGATGCTCTCCAATTAGTCCGCAGTGTGACTATTGACTCCTCCCAAAGTCCGTTTAGTGCTTTCCTGTCGCCTGGCCGAGTGTGCTGATGTATCGCCTTCATTTCGCCGCTGTTCGCCTTGTCATGCCTCCATTTCGGCGGAGTCCGCCGTATCAAGCCCCCGTTTCGCCATGTCATGCCTCCTTTTCGCCACGTCCCTCCTCCATTTCGACACGTCGCGTCGCCATTCCACCAGGTCACGCCGCCATTCGCCATGTCACGCAGCGGTAAGATCCGCACAGCGGTAAGATTCCGACGGTGAGTCGCATTGCCCGCTTGCATTTTCTCGAGAATGCGCTGCGTGCATGCTCTCCGCTCCTTCGCCTAGAAGTACGAGCGGTGTTACTACCATTACGGGCCGCGCGCGCGTCTAGTGCCACGGCGCGCTGACTGGGAGCCGTGGCTTGCCACGGTCAGGTGGCTGGCGGCTCCTTGAGTTACCGAGAGCTGATGGCGTGGCATATGGCCTGGGCCAAACCTGTGGTTTAGTTTGGCCCCTGGACGCAAAGGACGATGATCGTAACGCAGCTCGTCCGCGTGCTCGCCGCGTGCTGCCGTGGCGGCAGTCGGAACGGCGAGCATGCAACGGCGGCATTTCACGCGTAGCCTAGTAGGGTTGGCGTCGTTGTAGCGGCAGCGGCGGGCGTGCCAGTGGCGCGACAGCGAGCGCGAGAGAGCTCATTCCCCGCTGCTCATTCCACGCGCGAGCCCGCCTTTACGGGCGTACCCGGTCGCATTGTTGCTCGGTGCATCGTCGCTCAGCGCATCGTCGCTCAGCGCATCGTCGCACAGCGCATCGTCGCACAATGTATCATCGCTCAGGGCGACTGAGTCACCCCCGCTATGGACACCCCCGCAACTCTCGAACTGTCCTTGTCATTGAATAGACGTGGTACAGCAAAGGCAAGGATAAAGTGCTAAGGTAAGAATGCATAATCCAACCTAAGGAAGGGATAAAGCCCTGGCAGGTAAGCAGTACAAGGGGTTGCTTGCGTATGAGGGAAGGACGAAAAGGGGGTGGTGGGTGTGATGGGGTTGGTGTCATGAGGAGCGGGGGTGCTCGCTTACTCCTGCATCCCTGCCCTCTCCCTCTGCCTCGCTTCTGCCTTCCCCTACCCTCTCCCCGTGTCATTCCCTCCCCTCCCACTTCCCTTTCGTCTGTCTGCCGCCCTTTCCAAACGCAGACCCATTTCCTACTTCCCCTGCTCCCACTGCTGCTGCTCACCTTCTTCTGCCCGCGCTGTGCAGCGGCAGGCTGTGAGTGCGCCCGGGCGGGCGGTGGGGTGGCATGAAGTGGTATGGGAAGCTATGAGATTGTATGGAGCTATGCAACGGTATCGGAAGGTATGAGGCAGTGGGGCGGCGGCGGGGTGGTGCAAGATTCTCCATGTGAGATTCATATGAGCCACCAGCTTTGGGAATGCACCTCGCCTGCACTCCTGCTCCTCCTAGCCGCTACCCCGCCAAACCAGCCCATAGGAGGGGAGTGGGGTGCCATGGCCCTCCAGCACGCCATGGCTCTCAGGTCTCGCATGTGCTCGCCCCCAAGTTTCAGCTGGAAGGGGAGAGGTGTCGGGAGAAATCGGTGAGGGTGGGAAAGGCAGGAGGTGGCTTAGACTTGCAGGATGCGAAGCGGGGAGCTCTGCACGTGCACTGCACATACTCTGGGATCTATGCACGTGCATGCACATCCGAACATGCCCCTGCTCTCCGATGCCTTCGATGCCCTGGTACATATCAATGGCACATCCTACGCATGAGCATGGGCTGGGGCGTGGGTGGGCTGGGCCAAGTTTTTTGAAGTGTGCGGGCTGTGCCGTGCTTAGGCCAGCCCAACCCGGCAGCACGGGCCGGACGTGGCGCGAGTCGTAGCGCGAGCTATCTTCCTTCCGACGTCTGGCTGAGCCTGTCCGGGCCAGCCCGGGTCTGTCTGGTGTGTGATGACCCGGGATTAGGTGCAGTCCAAGGCGCGCCACGCGTGTGATGAGTCTGTTTTTGAGTCGAATCAAAGACAGACTCTTCCTTCCGACGTCAGGCTGAGCCTCTCCGGGTCAGCCCGGGTCGGCCTGGTGTGTGATATGTGCAGCCCGAGGCGCGCCGCGCGCGCATCACATCTTGTCAGCGTGACAAGGGGGGTTGTGTGTGGGTCGTTTGAGGAGCTAGTGTGTGGACACGTCACTGGTGCAAGGGAGGGAAGCTGTGTGGGCGTGGCCCCGTGACCAGGGGGGAGTATGGGCGGGCGCTAACAACGGTGGGGGTGTGGGTGCGAGCAGGGAGGCATGGTGGGCCGGGTGGGAACCAACCTAACCAGGTCCGACCATGGCCCTAGCAGGGTCAGCCTTATATTCCGCCTCCCGGGCTGTCTTCCCATCAAGTCCACCCGGGTCTGGTTAGCCCAAGTGCTGCTTGGTTATGAGGCCATCTCCGCCAGGCCGATCCGGGCTGGCCCATGCACTTGCCTGTTACACTTACCTCCAGGGGTGCACATCGGTTATGCACTTGCCTGTTACACTTACCTCCAGGGGTGCACATCGGTTATGCACTTGCCTGTTACCTCCATGCCAATGGTGGCAATAGATAGACTGTTGCTCTCTTCTCTGGTGACCCTGCTTTGATCTGTACAATTTCATTTTTGGTACCAGGTAGGTTCTGTGGTCGTTGCTTTAGAGCGCTACTCCTTTTTATGTTGCTGGCCTACATTCTTCTCCCTTCCCCATCCTCGTCTTCCCAGCAGTCCTTCCTCTCTGTTTCCCGCTCTCACAATCAGCTCGTGTGCGTTTGGAGCTGACCACGTAATTGTGGCGCCATGCCTGCCTGCCTGCATTGCTGTCCTTGCTGTCTGACCTCTTTCCCTCCTCCCTCCTTCCTCCCGTCCTTCCTCGATGTGCTTCTCCTTCTCACGCTCAGCTAATGCGCCTCGGTGTGCCACTGTGTTCGTATGGAGGCGCTACCCCTCCAAACTGGCCCAGAATGTCTCTCATTGCCATGGGCGGATGCGTCACTATATCGTAGTCATCACACCCTCTGTTCTCTCTCCTTCACCCCTCCCAACTGCCCCACTTCCGCTCTTCTTTCCCCATGTCTCCCCTCTTCCTCCCTCCTTGGAGGTTGGTTGATGGTGGCAGCACATGCACATGCACTTCAAACGCCTTTCATTTTTTCTCTCTCTCTCTAACCGCAACCCCATTTCTCCCCCCCCAACTCCCCGCAGCTGCTTATGTTGAGACGTCTCAAAGCAGCCAGCTCGCCCTGGTGGCATGGCGTGCAGGGAGGGCAGGACCGTGGAGGTGACTCTTGGGGCACGGGCAGAACCAAGATGGCTGTGTCGCTAACTGACACTCCAAAACTGAGTGACTTTAGCTTTTGGCATTTTGTTTGTGCGCTACATGGTTGGGAGAGCTGTGCTCGGGCACCTCATGTCATCCCATACTTAATCCCATGCTCCATCTTCGCCGCATCCCATTTGTCGTATGCCTCATCCCATACTGCATCCCATACCTCGTCTGAAACATTATGCCTCCACTTCATCCCACACCTCATCCCACACCTCATCCCAAACCTCACCCCATCCCGCACCTCATCCCATCTCACACATCTCACTGCATTGTTGTTACCGTATCACTTTTTCTTCCTTAGTGCCCTGCCCTCTCATGCCTGCCTCCACTCATGCCTGCCTCCACTCATGCCTACCATTCACTCACTGCCAGAAAAATCATCTTGAGCTGAAAGAGACGCAATAAGTTGCAGAAGGATGCATTGAGAGGGGTGGATTGTGGGGATGCAGTGAGGGGATACAGTTGCAGTTGCATGCAATTCAGTTTTGCCAGTATTATACATTGACTAATTGTTATCATGATTTTATCAGCACATTGTGGTGAGCATTGGTGGGGTGGAGTTGTTGTGAGGCCTCAAAAAGTCATTTTAGGGTGGCAATAGCCTTATGAGGGTGCTAATGCTTTTAGAATGAAACACTGCATTAATTTCAGAATTTTACATTTCACAATAAAGTTTATCAAAGCCCTGTACCTATTCTCTAGGGCAATCTAACCTATTCTATGCAAGAAATCATTCCAGCCACACCCAGACTCAATCCTTGAAGATATGAGCGAACAAGAAGCAAAGCAGCAAGGCAGCGTGCACTCATTCCCCTCCATCCACCAATTCCACCCAGCATCCCGAACACCCTGACAGGCAGGGTGCAAAAAGTGGTGCTCCTCCATCTCGGGCCCAATGGAGAGAAGATAACAACTCCCTACCCTATTCCAGGGCCAATCACTCGGATAACGTTATCCCACTCTCCCTTGCCTCCTCCCACCGCCACACCACGCCAGTTGCATTGCCCCCTGCTGCTGCCCCATCTCCACAATACCCCTCGCCTCCCTCTCCTCCATCCATCCATCACACTCACCACCACCTTCCGCTCCTGCTCTTCCCCGCGCTGCTCCCCCCGCTGCCCCCGAAGGCTTGGATCAAGGCGGGGTGGTGGCACACGTGCGCCATGGTGAGCCTCTCCTCCACGCGCACTCTCAGCATGCCGCTCACCAGCGCGCGGCACTCCTCCGACACGCCCTCCCACGCTGCCCCCTCCACACGCGCGCGCCACTCGCCCTGCTGAGGCGCCTCCCCTGAGTAAGGCCGCTCGCCCGCAATCATCTCGTACAGCGTCACCCCCAGCGACCACACGTCAGCTGCGCAACCATACCCCGCTGCCTCTGCTCTCCCCGCTGCTTTTCTAGCGTGCTTGGCGGCGCCCGGGGCGGGCGGGCAGCGAGGGCGGCAGAGGGCCTCCACCTCAGGCGCCATGTACCCGGGCGTGCCTGCGGGAGTGCTGCACCCGCGTTGCCCCTCCGCCACCACCTGCGCCAACCCAAAGTCCGCCAGCCGCACTGCCCCCGCTGCCAGGCGGGGGGAGGTGCGCGCTGAGGAGACGGGCGCGGACAGGCCGAGGGCAGCAGGAGAGGCGCGCGCAGGCGCAGCAGGAGCAGCGGCGGTGGAGAAAGGCAGGGGCGCGGAGTGGGGCGTGGGAGTGGAGAAGAGGATGTTGTCGGGCTTGATGTCGCAGTGCACCACGCCTCGCTCGTGGCAGAACGCCACGGCGTCGCCCACGTGCTTCACCACTTCCAGCGCCTCCGCCTCCGCCATTCCCCCTCCCCGCCCGCCCTCACCGCCCGCCTTCCCCCACCACCGCTTCCCCTTGCCTCTCCCCGCGTCTCCCGCGCCATTGCTTGCAGCAGCCTTGTGTCGCTGCAGGAGGGCGCGGAGGTCGCCGCCAGAGCACACGTCGGAGAGCATGTACGCGTGCTGCTCGCCCAGATGCACCTCGCGCACGCCCAGCACGCCCGGACACTCGCTCAGCGACGCCGAAAGCATCGCCTCGTTCGACGCCGCCACCAGCTGCTTTCGCTCCACGCGCTTCACCGCCACCACCTCACCGTTCTCCACTCGCCGCATCGCCACCACCGTGCCAAACCCGCCACGCCCCAACTCGCCGGTTTCCTCGAACAGCTCGGGGTCCAGCACTCCGTCGTATGCGCTCAGCACGAGCGGCCGACTGCAGGCGCGCGGAGCAACGGGTGGAGCAGCGGCGCGGTAAGCGGGAGGTGCATGGATTGCAGCTGGCGCCGGTTTCGTAGATTTCGCGACGGCTGCGGCAGAGTCGCCGGATCCGGAACACGTCGAAGCGACGGACGAATCCGCGGCGTCCGACGAGGCGACGAGGTCAACGTTGACTGGCATGGGCCACGACGAGGTATTCGCCTCGGACGGCGCGTACCACGACGCCGTGACGAGACCTGCCAGAACGAACGCGGAGGAGAAACGGTTGGCACTTTCGTGCTAACCTAACTCTCTCTCACGTCTATCTGGAAGGACGGAGCGGTTTCCTGGAAGAAGGAGAAAGAGAGAGGCAGAAAAGGGTGGGTCGAGGACCAAGGCTCGTGTTATTCTCGTGAGTTTAAGAAAGCGACTGAGACTAATTTTTTCGTCATAAAAAGCTCGATCACTTACCTTCTAACTTGCTCTCTTGTTCGGGCGCTTCGGATCGGCCTTCGCTGGTCGATTTGGCCAACGAGTTGCACGAGAAAGCGGTGTAAGCCGACGGCTTGGCCATCCAGATGTCCATGGCGAGTGTAAGAAAGCGATTGATAGCTACTTCTTCATAGAGTGAGGCTGGTAAGGTTCTCAGAGTCTATTTGAGACTTGGGTGAGATAGTCACAACAAGGGAGCATTTTTTTTTTTTGGAGGAAGTCGTGTTGTTCACACTGAGCAAAGACGAAGAAAGAAGTATCAAATGGCTGGACTTGTACTGCAGGCAGGCTGACTCCAGAAGAGAGCAGAAAATGGACGAGGGGAAGGGAAGACAGCGAGGAGAGTGAGCGGCTCGACTTCTGGCGATGACATCGCTGCCGGAGCAAAAGTCGAACCAGCGAGAAACGCGGAAACATACCACTTTGTATTATGACCGAACCTCTCAAGGCTCGTCAAGGTCCCAAGCCGCCTGAACGTCGCCTACCATTTCGCTAGGCAGCTGGTCAGGGCCGAACCGAACGAGTTTTGCCAAGCCCAGACTTCCACCGTAACGTGATTGGTCCCAGACTTCTCGCCGAACCTCAACCAGGGGATGTCTCGCAACCTAGAATTCACCCGTTTGACTTCGTTGTGCAAGCCAGGTTTGGCGGGAAGACCAAACTGCCTGTGGAGATCGATAGACCCGCGAGATTCGCGGAAGCCTTCACAACAAGAACTCTACAGCTATTGTATAACAGACATACGCTCACTTATAATATACATTGAAACGGTTGATATCATATGAATGAAGGAAGAAAACAGACAATATTACGATGCTCAAAAGTGGGTCCAATACTTGAATCAGTTTAAAAAAAAACATAATCGTATCCTCAACAATATATGATTTATTTGATGTACCGTACCATAATAACCATGTCATGTCAGGTGCGCAATGGGATGAGACGTGAGATGATGTAGGGCATAAGGTGTGGTGTGGTGTACTTAGCTCTGTTAATATGCACATTCAAAAAGTGATATAAAAAATACACATACCGGTACGTTTGTGTGTACTTCTCTACTCGTTAACTTGAGTTGCGTAGACTAATACACCCGCCGCACTCAGAGCTCCACTCACATTCGTGATGCAAATCGTTCTGCCGAACTCTCCCCGCACTCTCCCTGCAAAAGAGGCACGTGCAATTTGATGCAGGCAGCAGAGTTCCAGCGTAGGTGGAGGGCCATTGGCGATTGGATTGCCTCCAATGAAATGAGGCACGTGCGGTTCGATGCAGGCTGAAGTGTTCCAGCGTAGGTGGACGTCCATTTGCCCGTATTCCAAGGGCGAACAACTCCTCAGATTGCCTCCAGATGAGATGAAGCACGTGCGAGTTGATGCAGTTGTTTAACTGGTGGGAGAAGGCAGGGAGGGGAGAGCGAGCGGGAGGGAAAGGGGGGGAGGTGGTGGGAGGTGGAGGGGGTAAAAAGGAAAAGTGGGTGAGGAATGGGGAGTGGGGAGAAGGTCAGACAGAAGTGTGGCATGTGCAAGTCAATACGGCTGTCCAGCAGGTGGGGGGGCAAGGAGGGGGCGGGGGAGGGGAGGAGGGGAGACATGAAAATAAGGGTGAGAAGAGGAATAGGCAAACACTGCGTATCAATGCTTCCTCACATCCAACGCCTGCATCTTCCCAGTTTCAACATTTCACTCACGTGTCACAACAACAGATGCAGCACATCTCAGCTCGTCAACACCGCCCCTTAACCCCACCATCCATAGAGACCCATTCACATTCACCTCAAGGCCCCCTCTGCTGCAGCAACGCAGAATAGAGCTGTGGCCTGCTTGACGCTCGCACGTGGCGAGTCAGAAGGGCATGCACTCAAGACTGGCAGAAGGGCGCAGTGGCTCTCGGCTTTGGACAGGTCTGGCGCATCGGAGGTGACCCGGAGGAGATTGTGCCATAGAAACGCGCGAATAATCTTGTCCGTATTTTTGAAAATTCTCAAAAAACAGATTCAGCCAAAGAGACGCGTAAATGACCATGTCCTAGTATGAGCGCTCCTCGCCCTTGAGGGGCGTGTGGAGCATGAGCTCCACCCTTCCCAATACTACTGCTGATGTGTTGCATTGTGAAGTAGGGAAAGGGAAGGGGATAGAAGAGAGTTGTCGCAAGTCGTGAGGATGCAGTGGAAGCGAGGTTTTGTTTGTGAGGGGCGTGCTGTGCAGCAGCTCTGCCACACTCCCTCCCACCACACCTGGCTTCGGAGGGAAGGATGCGAGGAGGATGGAGGAGGATAAAAGGAGAAGGCAAAGGAAGGGAATTGTGTGGAAAATGGGAGAGAAGAGGGGGAAAAGGTGAGGGTAACTGAGGGGAAGGAGACGGTAAAGGGATAAAACGGGGAGGGTATGAGGAGGGGAAGGGGAGGCAAAGGAGAGCGGAAGGGTAAACGTTGTTGTATGGTGTGTGGATATAGGAAGGTACCTCCGATCCAAGTCAATGCACTCGTCTCATGTGCCACAAACGTCATGCACACACCATCTAAACACCACACACACCATCATGCTTACCATGCGCATGCATGCACACCATGCATGCACACACCATGCACGTTGATGCATAGCACTCACCATTCACCCACCCACTCCAGTCATGGGGTGCGGCTCTCGAGGCTCATATTCGCCAGAAAGATGCCTGGGGACGCCGCATGCCGCGCCTGCTTTTATTGAGTTGACTCAAATGAGTCAACTAGAAAAAAACGACTCTCGTGGCTCATATTCGTCAGGACAATGCCTGGGGACGCCGCATGCCGCGTCTGCGACCTCCTTGGCTCACCTCCGCTGCTCTCCTTGCATCAGCGTCTCTCGCAGGTCGTGCCACGTGTCCATCAACACGCTGTCAGCACCAATGGGGCAGGAGCTGCTTGAGAGATGGGAGAGGGAGGAAGGGAAGGAGGAATACGTGCGGCAGGGGAAGGGGTCGTATGCAGGGGAGTAAAGGTGCAGTCATGAGTACACAAACAACCCGTCTGCACTCAGGTGCATTAGCTGGGCGTGGGGGATGGGGGAGCGCACGGGAGGACAAGATGTAAGGCAGCAAGGAGAGCATTGGAGGCAGGCAGGCATGGGGGCACAAACACGCTGCCAGCTCATTAGCTGATTTTGAGAGCAGGAAACGGAGAGGAAGGACGGAAGAGAGGAGGGGAGGGGGGAAGGGATAAGAACACAGGGCAGCAACAGTCATCGCTACTCTTTAGACTATACATGGAGAATGAATGTTAATCGACTCCACACACACATAAAAACCACAGCACCAACCTGGTATTAGCAGTGACAAAGGCAGGGCCACCCCGAGGGTAACAGTCTTATCTCTACTATGGATGTAGATGCATTTGTCACGTGGAGTGCACTCCATGTCACAGTATCATATGTACCCCATAGAGTGCACGTGCGAAGCTTCCCGACTTGCTTGCTGTACGTCCAAGCCACCACCACCTCGCCCTCTCCGCCACCTCCTGCCCCACCCACACCCATTTTCCCCCAAGCGTCTCCCAGTCCAGCTGAAACTTGGGAGAGAGCATGTGACACGCACCTGAGAGCCACGGCGTGCTGAAGGGTCGATGTGGAAATTGAAGGGGTAACGGAGGGAGATTGAAGTGCAGCCAGGCTGCAGTGCAAGAGCTGGTGGCTCATCTCATGCTTTTTACTACTCCTCTATCGGGTCTTGGTGTCGGTGGGATGATGAGTGGTGGTAGGGGGCATTGGAGTGCATGAGCTGGTGAGTCAACCAGGTGTAAATCTTGAGATCCTCAAGCGTCACACGTGCTACGCTTCACTCCTCTGCTCACACACATACAAGAGCAGCAGGTGGGTGAGATTTGCGAAGGATTCTGGAATTGCCCAGTGATGCCCATGTTGTCCAGATCCCCGTACGGTGAGGGGAGACAAGAGGAGAGCATTGAGGAACAGGCAGGGCAGGAGCAGGGGCCTTGACAAAGAGGCACGGTATATGGTTTGCAGGGGCAAAGATTTGGACCAAGCATGAGCAGTGGGCAAGCCAGTCGGGCTGGCCCGGTTTGTATGCCCAAGCAGGGCCAAGCCTCAGTTTCTCCACGTCGGCCAGGGCAGGCTCACGCCCTAACCCCGGCAAAAGCGCCAGGGCCAGGCCGGGCGGGCGAGAGAAAGTCTCGGTTCCTCATCCACCCATCCCGTGCCTCATTCACCCATCCCGTGCCTCATTCACCCATCCCGTGCCTCATCCACCCATCCCGCGCCTCATTCACCCATCCCGTGCCTCATTCACCCATCCCGTGCCTCATTCACCCATCCCGTGCCTCATTCACCCATCCCGTGCCTCATTCACCCATCCCGTGCCTCATTCACCCATCCCGTGCCTCATCCACCCATCCCGTGCCTCATTCACCCATCCCGTGCCTCATTCACCCATCCCGTGCCTCATTCACCCATCCCGTGCCTCATTCACCCATCCCGTGCCTCATTCACCCATCCCGTGCCTCATTCACCCATCCCGTGCCTCATTCACCCATCCCGTGCCTCATTCACCCATCCCGTGCCTCATTCACCCATCCCGTGCCTCATTCACCCATCCCGTGCCTCATTCACCCATCCCGTGCCTCATTCACCCATCCCGTGCCTCATTCACCCATCCCGTGCCTCATTCACCCATCCCGTGCCTCATTCACCCATCCCGTGCCTCATTCACCCATCACGTGCCTCATTCACCCATCCCGTGCCTCATTCACCCATCCCGTGCCTCATTCACCCATCCCGTGCCTCATTCACCCATCCCGTGCCTCATTCACCCATCCCGTGCCTCATTCACCCATCCCGTGCCTCATTCACCCATCCCGTGCCTCATTCACCCGTTCTGCGCCTCATTCACCCATTCCGTGCCTCACTCACCTGTCCCGTGCCTCACTCAATAGCCCTGTGCCTCACTCATCTGTCCCGTTCCTCACTCAATAGCCCTGTGCCTCACTCATCTGTCCCGTTCCTCACTCAATTGCCCTGTGCCTCACTCGCACACGTGACATCAATTATGTCATGAGCATGTGCCTCACACGTCATGTTCTGAGCATGTGAGGGCTGCCCATACGGCGCACACGTCGCTCCCGCCTGCCATCCCTCGAACATCAACCACGCCTGCAACGCGGCCACTGGGGGGAAAACCAAGGCAGAGGGGGAGGGGTTCTGAGACAAAGAATGATTCTTTTTCGCGACGTCTCGTTTCAGGCCACCGCCAAATCACCCCAAACACACAGCGGACTCAGCGATACAATCGAGTGGGGTGGCGGCGGGTGGAAAAGGAAAAAGATTAAGGGGAATGAATGGTTTACACTCGCATCAATGCTTTAGTGGGCGGATTGCGTTGAAAGGGGGCAAACTGTCACTCGGCCAATTTCGAGATGGTGAATGGCGACGTGACTTCGCGAAATGGCGGCGCGACATGGTGGAATGGCGATGTGACGTGTCGAAATGCGGCGGGACGTGACGAAATGGCGGCGCGACATGGCGAAACGGGGCTGTGACACGGCGGAATGGCGTGACATGGAGGCGTGACAAGGGGGACGGTGGCGAAATAAAGGCGATACATCAGCACCCTCAGCAAGGCGAAAAGAAATCACTAAACGGACCTTGGGAGGGGTCAATAGTCACACTGCGGACTGCATGGAGAGCATCATGGTAATCGCGCCGAGCCTATAGCTCAAAGCACCCATCACGACGACTAGTAAACCTGGTAGGGCCGACAGTGAAGCATAGGATCTAAACTTTAAACGCCTAAAAAATAGACGGACGAGCACAGCAGAGTACTTCTAAAGCCTCGACACGAGAGTGGGTGGACGGATTCTAGCTCGCTGCTTGAGCAGCGACTCCTCAAGGCGATTAGGAGCGAGCAGAGAGACCGCTGACGCAGGTTGCTGATTTGGGTCTGTTTGCTGGAAGCAAACTAATAGGGTTACCAAATTTGTTCAGGTCCCTCCCTACGGCATTGTGCGAAGCCCGAACATTGCGAGGTCCCGAGTTCGCAAAAAACTGGCCAAGAACTTTCGAGTGCCGAAGCAAAGGTTGTACAGCCAGCACGCCAGGCTCGGCTGGCACTTCGTAGGTCTGTGCGTTCGGTTTGGTTTCTGGTTTGGGGGCGACATTTTGAAGGTTACCAGATTTAGGAATCGTACGAAGCCCCCAAAAGGCGGGGATCAGGCTCGGCCTAGTCTGACGACACCGAAGCTGACTCGCCTCGCGTCCGAACTTTTCGATTCCGCCTTTTCCCGAACCTCGCCAACGGGGATTTCGCCCAGCAAGATTGTTGTCGTGTAAAAGGAGGCCTTCGAGTCACATTCTCGTCATTTCCTAATTCTGTTCGATAGTCATTTCAGCCTCCAACCCTAATTTCGAACCTTATATGCCTAGCCCACTTTCAGAAGTCAACCTTCTCAAACATGAATGCCTACATCGATGGCGGTTTCAAGTAGCTGTGCATGGAACCGTACCGGCTTTCCCGCCCGCAACGGATTGGTGGAATCGTCGCCAGCATCTTCGTCGCTGTCAAACCACTCTACCATGTGCGCAGTCGCTCGATCGTTAGTTCCATCAATAGCCCCTGCTAACCTTGAATAGCTACTAATAGACATAATATTCAGCTAGCAGCTACAGTAACGACACGTCCTCCTGCCCGTGTCGCCAGCTGCTGCTAGGTTGCAGCATTGTCAGACTCGAGTCCGTCTTCTGACGCGATCGTCGGCCTCCACCCACCGCGCACTCCCGCCTCGCTCGGCGCGCAGCTCCCGCCGCCGCTGCTGCAGATGCTGCTGCGCACTACCGCCTCCCGCCGAGGCGGCGCAGCAGCTGCGCAAGTGACGAAGTCCTGTTTCCCGCCGCAGGGAGATCCCGCCGTGGCCGCGGCTGCACGTATGTGTCGAGATGAAATGCAATGACGATTCTCCTCTTTGGACACTTGATCGATTCAGTGCTGCGAAAAAAACTGATGCGCGGAGAAGCACGGGCGACTCATGTGATGTGGGTGCATTTAAGAATCACTCAGGGCGGTCATCGGGGACTTTCCGAGCAACAAAGGGCGTTCTGGCGGTGGGACGTGTGAATTCCTCACACGCTGTGACTCCACTCCTCCACTCACGTACCTGACCCCATGAGTACGAGGACCCATCACGCCAGGCCAAGGCGCGCTCGCTCATTCCTCTGCAGCACCTCAGGAGGCTGCGGCAGTCTCCCTTGCCAAGGTTCGCCTAGGCATGGGCATGGTCACAGGTCCGGGTCGGGTCGGGTCGGGTTGGGATGAGTTGGTTCGGGTTGCGTCGGGTCGGGTCGGGGGCAGTTGGCTCGGGCTAGATCGGGTGTGATCAGGTCGGGTCTTGTGATGTCGGGTTGGGCCGGGGGTCGAGTGGTTCGGGTCGGGTCAGGTCAGGTACGGACGGGTAGGGTCCAACGGATCGGCGCAAGTCGAGCGGCCGGGTTGGTCATGTTGGGTCGCACCGAGTCGGGTCGGATTGCGTTGGGACGCGGTTCTTGATGGAATGAAATTTGGCTCGTTTTTCTTCAGCAGCTGGAAGGGGTTGCTGCGTCCATGCTAAAGTTCGTCAGACATTATGTGGTGCGGCGCGGTGCTGTGCTCTGCTCTGTTTTGATATGCTCCCTCCGTCAGTAACATCCTATCCAGCGTCATGGGTGAACCTGCAAGCAAGTTGCTGATATCTAAAACCATAGTGCTGCTGCTAGGTATAAGAGGGCAAGAGGAGTCGGGAGCAGATGAGTGGCTTGAAAGCGCGCTCTGCCCACAGCCTACCGCACCACAACCTACCGCACCGCATTATAACCTACCACACTACAGTCTACCGCATTACAACCTACTGGACCACAGACCTACCATACCTTAGTCTCTCT